TAACTGTTTTTGTGATAACATGCTACACAAACAAAACTGAACTGAACTTAATTATTAGATTGGGATGTGGTGAATGTAAAGACCCTTTGAGTGAATTCACTGTCATGTCCAGGAACCACTTTGAGATGATCTGGTGAATTACTCTGCTGAAAGAAGCCATCTGAAGACGGGCAGCAGTACTTGGGTTGGCTGTTTGTGTTTAATCAGTGCTCAAGCTGTACTAATGGGCCCAAAGTGTTTCAAGAAACTACCTCGTACACAACTACACCATCAGCAGTCTGAACTGTTGATAAAAGGCAGGATGTACACCAAATTCTGACCCTGCCATCCAAACGCTGTAGAAGAAATTAAGAATAGACAACATGTTTTCAATTTTCTATCAATTTTGAATGTTTGCACATAGTAGCCTCAGTGTCACAGTCTTGCTGATGCATGTGTATGTGTTGTGAAGAGTGGACCCAAAGTGCAGACATGAACGAACTTGGAACAAAACTTGAATATTAACAAAAGGCGAGCCGTTTGATAAGGCTGATAAAAAGACACAACAACAGGCAAAGACAAACTAATGCAAAACTAAACATGAACCTAAAATACAACATGAAAAACCCTGATAGTAACAGACCTGCAAACACGGTGAAACAACAGATGACCTGACAAAGACTGAGTGAGAAAACATAAATACACACAGGAGGCTAATGAGGGGAGTGGGAACACAGGGGGAAACAGCTGACACACATGAACATAACGACATCACAGGGGAAACATAAAGCTGAATACATTGAACACAGGAACACGGGACCTCTTCAAAATAAAACAGGAAACATAATGAAACACAGACGTGACAACGTGAACTTGACAACAAAAGACATGAAACCTATAAAGGACAAGAGAGACTTAACACAGGGGTTGAAAACACAACAGGAATAAAATAAACAAGTGAACTTAGAAAACCCAATGAACTTAAACTTAAACCATAAACATCAAAATAAACTAAAACTCAAAACGTTGGGTCAAAAGACCCAGGATCGCGACACTCAGTGCCGTTATTAGCTGACAGAGGAGACAGAGGTCAGTCAGAGAAAGATGTCCTTGGTTGTAACAAGTAGTTATTTGAGTTATTATTGCCTTGCTAGCCGCTTGAAACAGTCTGGCCATTCTCCTCGGACGTCTGGCATCAAGAAGGCATTTTCTTCCAGATAAATGCCACCCACTAGATATTTTCTCTTTTTCAGAGCATCCTCTGTAAACCCTGGAGATAGCTGTGTGAAAATCCCAGCAGATCAGCAGTTTCTGAAATTCCACATAGTAACTCAACAGGTCATCTGGATCACATCTGCGTGCTTAAATGCACCGACTTGCTGCCATGTGATTGGCTTATTAAACATTTGCATTAACGACCAGTTAAACATGTGTACCTAATAAAGTGGCCGGCAAGTGTATAATCCAACAATGTTAACACAACATCACAGGCTCATATTCATTTTTATTATTTTGTCACAATACCTTGTAGGTGTGTACTGTAAACTGAACCCACTGGTGATGAATAGTGGAGCTTATCAATGCTCCCAGCGTCCAACACCTTTCAGTTCAATATTCTGTTATTAACCCCTTTATTGTGTCTGGGTCAACCCAGCCCCATGTATAGGCAGATACAGAGAAACACGTTTTTCAGGTACTCAGTATGGGCTATGTAGCTGAGGAATATGAGACCCAGCAAACACAGTTCAGAATTAAACTGCTGAATTAAAGTGTTTACTCATTCCTGCAATCTAACAGCCGCAAAGGTGTAAATCTAACGCTGATATCATGTTTCAGGCCGAAACACGCCACAGAATCTGCACTTGAGCGGTGCACAAGAGTAACACTGGGCATTTAGAGGCGCACAAATGAAATAGTCTGTATAAAGAAGAACCAGCATGGGAGCTGTGATGAAATATATTCGTTAGTTTGCTCATATGTCAAATTTATTTGTTTAGGCCATTGCTAAGTGGTGCACACCAGCTTGGGCTAATGCTAACTCAATCTGTGATCGAGTCTGTAGATCCAGAAGACAGCATGGCCTAAAACACATTTGAGGGGGAAGTCAAAAATCCTTCTACCAACAACCCTGAAGAAACTTTGGTTCCTGTGAGGAATTCAATCGAGGAATATCATGTTTGCCAGATTAAAATCAAACACTCAAATTAAAGCTGATAGCCAAGCAGGCCACAGTGAGCTTTGTCTAATATGGGAGGAAGGCAAAGTGTGGAGTCTTATGGCATTACCTTTGTTCTCAACAGCTTGTTACGGCAAAAACTTTGGTCCCAAAGGATTTGGCTATGGACTGGGAGCCGGGGCGCTGGCGCACACTCAGTAGGAACCGCGTATCCTCAGCAGCACAGCTCCAGATTACTGCACTGCCCGGCTCTTCCTGCAGGGGGCAGACGACCTATATCCACAGACGCGCTTGATAGAAAGCTGCTTTTATAAACTGTACAGTCGAAAGGATGACACCTTCATAATCCCATAGAAACAGGTGAATACTATTGCAGTGCTGCCACATATGCACATTTAATGAACATGAATATCTATGTAAAACTGCATGGGTGATTTGCACTCAAAAATATCGTCCTCTCATTAAGAATTAATTTTTCTCTCAACACTTGCAACCCCTGGTGTTGTGATAAAAAAAATGATCGCCTGCCAAAAACGATTTCCGGTATTTGGCCCGAAATTATTGTTCGTACTTAAATGGTTGTAAATCACTTGTTGGTCTGTGAAACGTGTGTCAAACATCTCTCTTGGTTGATATCGAGCCACTTGAAGTCAGAAAATATATTTCTGTCATGAGGTAGAAGCTGCAATCAGACTTTTATACATCCTTTAATAACGAATGTAAAACTCTCACTGCAGCAGAGGTTGCACCAAATAACACAACAGTTATACAAAGATGTTTTAGGTGGATTGATTATATTATAGAATATAGAGTGTGTGCAATAATGTCAAAAAGAAACCTGCTAAACAGATGACTTTTTTTATTTTATATGTAAAACCTTCGTAAATGGTGCTGACTGCAGACTGTTTATCAGTATAAACAGAGATGTTAAAAAAACAGCACACAAACACACACAAAAAGACATACAATCAACGGAAATCACTTTTTGTCCGACGATCACCTTTTAGCATCACAAGATAACCTATACAGCCATCTAAAATTTCCACAATTATGCTTTCTGAATAGCATGATGATAAATAAACTACAGAGAGAATGTATTTGGTGTCATTGTGTTTATTGGCTCAAAGTGAAGTGAAACTGCCTCCTCGGCCTCCTTGTCTCGGTTTGTGTCTGAGGCGAGTATCACAGGTGGTGGTTTCTGTTTTGGTTTCAAGAAATGACACGTGGAGGATCGTATCCATTCCTCTCACACCACGCGACACACTGGGACCAGGTAAGTCCAGTATCTTGTAAAATTGGGGGAATCACAGATACACTCCACCCACAAAGCTTATCTATCGCGTAAGAATGTCAGAAAGAATTTACCAACAAATTCCATCACTGATGTTTCCCACAGAAGTTCGACAGAGAAGTTAAGGCGGAGCTCTGAAGTTATGAAAATATAATCTGTTATTCAAATGAAATATACATTTTTATTTCCCTAGTTGTAAATATTTTATTCTTAATGTGAAATCTGTGGATGAGGCAAATTGGACATCTTTGCGTGTAGCCCTACCTTGTAACGACATTGTTTCCAGAAGGTGATGATCACTAACCGGCTGATTAGTCATTCAGCAGTTTGAACTCTTTATCCAACTTTATCCGCCATGCCACCCACTCACATTCCAGCTCTCAGAGACGCGAGATTTCATAGTTTCTAATAAGGACTTTCAAGGCTTATAAATGAGCGCTTATTGCACTTTAAGCATATTAGCATTTTAGTTTACTCATTATACAGAAAGGTGTGTTAGCAGGTTTTTCTACAGGTGCACTGCGACCTCAAAGGGAGATGGTAGCCTGAACCCATCTACTCTTTTGTTTGCCTTTGTTGTGGAATTCCGTTTTTAAAAAATGTTGCTCTTTCCTCCACAGCTGTCACGTTGATAACTTACGTGACGAGTTACTTTGAAGATGAATAGCATAAACAGAAGAAAAAAATGGTAACCAATAATGAAGTTAGGTCCATAATTACCACTGGCAGCATTAAACACGAACATGTACTCGTAATTATAATCCATTATTCTGATATTGGCTACTTTTGTTTATTTAATACTTTTTTCTTTTTACTTGAGTGAGCTAACTCGTAAAGACTAAGACGTATATTTACCCTGGTGTCGCTATGTTAAAGTTCTCTCTCCACCACTGCAACACATAAAAAGGCTGCTATGCAGAGTGCTGTAAAACACAACTGTCAGCGTGCACTGACTGACTCTCTGTGCCTGTCTTTCTGTCGCGCGCACTGCACGCTGACGCACACACTCAAGATGGGAATTTCATAAACAGCCCGGATCTCCTCCTGCCGTCACTGAGAAGGAGGCGGGGTGCTAGTCGAAAGGGGGAGAAGGTCCAGACAGGAGCCGGGCATGTTCAAACATATCCAGGCAGAGCAGCCTACCAACCCGCACGGTGTCCTGTCATTGCGCACAGACGGAACTTGTTGTAATAGACAAATGTGTTTAACATCATCTTTACTGTAGCTAATCTGTTTCCCCGTGGGACGTTAATACGGCAAGACACGAGATGCGCATTTAATAGATTCAGTATCTATCAGAGGATTAAGTTGTCTAGTGTCTGGTACTGAAGAGGTTCCTTCAGCGTGGAAATGTCGTTCGCGGCCAAGGCGATGAGAGACGGACTGCTAGAGAAGCGCAGCAGCGGACTTCTCCAGCTGTGGAAGAAGAAGCGCTGCGTCCTCACTGAGGACGGGCTGCGCCTGCACAACTGCAAAGGAGGCGGCGGTGATGCTCCGGGTTTGGCGTCGAGCTCCAAAGTCAAGGAGCTTCACTTTGAGCGCATGGTCACGGTGGACTGCGTGGAGTATAAGCGAGGGCTGGTGTACTTCACTGTGGTCATGGTCACGGGCAAGGAAATTGACTTTCGGTGTCCGCAGGACGGCACAGCGTGGAACGCAGAGATTGCTCTGGCTTTGGTGCGCTATAAGAACCTACAAGCCGTGCAGACCGGGAGGAACCGGCACCTGTCTACGGGACACCTGGGCAGCACTGGGGAGGACGAGGAGCTCTGATTTTCGAAGGTATCCTAAGTTGTTGTCTGGTTGGACTGAAATAGCTGGAAGTCAAAGTGTGACTTTTTGGCGTGGGAAAGCTTTTATTTCATTTATGTATAAATCATTTTATCTGGAGAGAGTGGCACCACACCTTCTCATTGCTCAAATATCCTCAAGTTCACTCCCAGTAACTGAGACTGGCAGTGAATCCCAAGCAAATAACTCAGCTAAACAAACATAATTATTATTATTATTATTATTATTATTGGTTTTTCAAGCAATTGGCAACTAAAGGCACAGATGTGTGCCGGCAGTAAAACACCTGACTTAACATGTTATTTCCTTTTTGTGCTAATCTCCAAACACGTTGTTGCAATAACTGGATGGAAAGGAATGAAAATATCGAGACTCTTGGGAATGAGGTGACACAGAGCTGAGAAGCACTCACGTTAAGCTCATGCTGAAGGTTATTTACAAGTGTTTAGATGTTCCACCGAGTTAGAGTCCTCTCCGAGTTTTCCTTACTATGGTCATCTGCCTGTACTACACCTCAGTAGACACAAACCAGCTTCACTTGAGGACATAATTAAGATGCAACGTGAGCCTTCAAAATAACATCTGCCTGCCCCTCCCTCACCAAGCAGCCGAGTATTTTTAAACACACGCACAAACACACACACTGACTTTCCTTATGGGTTTAGTTGACATGAAGCAGTGGGACACTAAGGGTGTTAATCTGTCGTTGTGACTTTTGAGATCAAGGGTACAGTCGTCACCATCTAATGGAAACAGAGTTATTTAATGAAACCGGTCATCTCAAATGAACTCGTGACCCAAGTGTGTGAGTCTGAACTATGAGCTCACAGTTTAGGAATCTGCAGCGATGGTTCTTTAAGAGAGCTGCTCTAGTCAAGTGCCTAAATTAACTTAGGAGCCGTGGTAACAGTGCAATTTAACGCATTACAAATGCACTTTTGAGCGACCCTGCTGCTGAACATAGACATGTGTGTGTGTTTTAAATTATTTTTTTCTTTTTTCAATGGTAAAACATAAATAAAAATCTTTTTCTCTTTCTTCAGCCTTCCTACTTCCTTGGAGGGAATCAATAAGAAGGGGAAATTAGTACAACTCACCAGATCCAGAGGATGCACAAAAAGGTCATCAGTGACTGTGGAACAAACGACTGAGAACAAGTGTCACAGAAACTCATCTTCACTTGCAGCCAGTCAAAGTATAGGAATCTGATAAACTGTGGATAAAGACTTGGTTTCTGTCCTGATCTCGTTGCTTAAGGACAATTTGGAGACTCCTGCATAAAA